TGCCCGTCTGTTTGCCCGCTGGTTCACCCATCTGTGTTTCCGACTGTCTGTCCATCTGTTTGTCTTTCTGTTTGTCTGCCTAAGGGTCTGTATGTCTCTCTGTCTGTGTGTCTGTCTGCGTCTGCCCGTCTGTTTGCCCGCTTGTTCACCCATCTGTGTTTCCGACTGTCTGCCTGCTTGTTTGTCCATCTGTCTGGCGGCCTTTCGCATCCTCCAGTCTCTATCTGTCCATCTGCCCGTATGACTGCCTGTGTGCCTTACAGTAGCATACACGTGTAGAGATGCAAACTCCGATGGAAATAATTCTATGGCTTCGCTCTAGTCTTCGCCGACGAACAGACAAGTGATGAGAACTTGGCAATCACCCACTATTTTGTCCTTTCGTCCTTCCATTTGTCCTTCTCTCCTTCCATCTTTCTAGTTTACCTATTTTGTGAATTGCGATCTGACTGGCATGATTCCTAGCAGTTTTTCAGCAAAACCTAATTGCAAGTAAACAAATGTGCACAGTAGTAATAAGCAAAAACATATCAAGAAACAGAGCATGCCACTTGCACATGTCAGAATAGATACCTTCAGCTCCCACTTTCCTGGGAGGAGGAGGAGGAGGAGAAAGTAGAAAAGAAGAAGCATAGACAAGAAAACAAAACCGGTATATTGAATGGCGCTAAGCCGTAACCACCTTTCATGACCGCGCTGATTATCAGAAGACCCACCCTTTCTGAGTTGGTCCACAGGTTTCCCTTTCCTGTCTGCAAAGTTTGGCTCAGTTTTTCGAGAGCTAGTGGTACCAGAAAAGTTCCCAAGGGCTTTCAAGGGGTTCAGATGAGTTAAGAATGGTCGAAGGGGGGGGTTGAAGGAGTACCTATGGGCCTTGAAGGGGGTTGATGGGGGGTGGGAGGGTTGAGGAGGGTTACATGGGGCTAAGGGGGTTTAAGGAGGGTTTAAGGGGGTATCAGACATTACAGGCGGTTTAAGGGGGGCTAAGGGATTTTGAGGCTGTTCAAGTGTATTCAAAAGCTTCCCAAGGGCTTTTAAGGGGTTCAAACGAGTTAAGAATGCTTGCGGGGGGTAAAGGGGGTAGGGGCTTTAAGATGGGTGTAAAGGAGCTCTTAAGGGTTTCGGGGGCCGAGGAGGGGGGAGGGAGGGGGAGGGAGGGGGAGGGGAGGGAATTAAGCGGGGTGAAGCCGGGTTACAGGGGGTTCTAGGGGATTTGGACGTTTTGGTGTTTCGAGGGAGATAATGGGCCAAGAGAAATTTCTGAAAGATTTTAAGTGATCCGAAGCGGTTCAAAGGGGATATACGCTTTAGAACAAATTTGTGATGAGAAGGGTTCTGCATCACACAATTTGAACCGCTTCGGATCACTTAAAATCCTTCAGAAATTTCTCTGAGCCCCTTATCTCCCTCGAAACCCCGGAACGTCCAAATCCCCTAAAACCCCCTTTAACCCGGCTTCATCCCGTGATAATGATCAGTTTTGGAGACATTAGTTCAAAATGCACGGGAGATACGCAAACTATGATAAGCAACTGAGAGTGACAGATGTATATTAGCAATGCCCATGCGGGCTTTCGCCCGCACAAATTTGGCAAGGGGACAAACTAGTGAAGTGTGTGATGCAGAACCCTTCTCATCACTTTTAGAAACATAAAAATAAATTGCAAGCAACTCACTAGCAGAAGAAGCAGCATAAAAAAATTGCAATCTGACAATCTGTACCTTCACAAAAAAATGCTCTGCAATGATAAGCAGTTGACGGGGAGCGCGGGGGGAGAGGGACTGTGGCCTTTCGGCTGTGACATGTAGACAGGAAATGAATTGTTCTTAAATATATGGACACCCTCTCCCCCCAAAAAAATATCAGCCGGAGTGTGAAACGTACACACGAAATGCGTGTTTTTTTTTGAAGGCAGGCAGGGGGGCTGGAGTGGCTGTAGACAGGAAACGCACGTTTTCCTTATATGCAGCCCGAGAGGGCCCACCGCCACCCTCACCCCATCAGTCAGATCGTGACCTTTGGGATGTCACAGATCGACAGCAAAAGTATTCTGCTTTTCTTTATATAATGAGAATATTTATATAATAAAAATAGGAATATAGTCTATAAAGAAGAATATATATTCTCTTTATAGGCCGCAGGAAGGGGGTATAGACCCCCTAGCCGGACCCGGCCGCCATCACACCCCACCCACGTCAGTCAGACTGACACGTAGACCGGAAATGAATCGATTTTTTTACATCTGGCATTTGGGGAGCGGGGGGTTGTCCCGATTAAGAGTTTGCAATTTCAATTAAGAGTTTGGAATTGGCGAAGTACCGAGGCAATTGAAACCGAGTGCAGGCCGCACCCCGACTTTTCCCTTCCCACACAATTCAAGCTCTCGATATGTTTACCAGTACTTCTGTCTTATTTCCGGCCACTACAGGAAGACTTTTCCCTTTCGCCTGAGATAAGGCCGGTCTCGAGATTTCAATCTAACAGGAATTAAGAGGAGGGGGAAAAAAGGTACTGACCTCCCAGCGTCGTTATCTCTATGAATAGTATCTCCTAATCCGTTGTAGATAAGATGGAATCTCACCCCTACAGTCTTCCCCCGAATACATCGCACGGTCATTATAGCTGAATTTGGGCTATCCTTCAGTCTAAATTCAGCTATAATGACTGTGCGTTGTATTCGGGGGAAGACTGTAGGCATTCGGCGGCATCCTAAGTACCTACACTTTCTTATTGCGAAGATCATCCGTAAAATTCATATTCTGTCAATCAATTGCATTGTCCATGGATTTCAAGAAACACGAAATCAACAAAGGGAAAGAGAAATCGCCCACTACACATCATATCAACAAACGCATCGGTAGACTTCAATTATTTTGCCCCCCATAGATCTGAAATCTTGCCCAAACATGTCAAATGTCCCAACATCTATCTCAGTCCAAAACCATTCAGCTTGGCACCCAGAACCATTCAGCTTGACATCCAAGGAGGAGGAACTCTGTTACCAAAAAAATAGGGACAAAAAAAAAAACAGCTCGCCAGCTAAAGCACGGACGGGCTCGGAATAAATTGCTTGGGCCCTGCATCTGTCTTCTTGCGTGTTTTCTCCCCTTCTCCCATTCCTTTTCTCGTTACTCGTTTTGACAGACATCATGAGAAGTCCTGTCCAGATGCATGTCCAAATCTGAAGTTGGCAGCATGGTATGCAATGTTTTCAACAACCACAAAAATGGTGCCTCAGTCCAAACACTAAGCCCCATAATCGCCGAAAACCTCCGTTTCTGACTCTCTCTCTCTCTCTCTCTCTCTCTCTCTCTCTCTCTCTCTCTCTCTCTCTCTCTCTCTCTCTCTCTCTCTCTCTC